TCTCAGGGTCGTGAGTTCAAGCCCCACATTGGGCCTAGAGCTTACTTAAAAATAAATAAATAAATAAATAAATAAATAAATAAATAAATAAATAAAATAAATAAATAAATAAAGAGCATACTTGAAGGCTTCTGAATATATTAGTAATTCCATAAATTTTACAGTCCCTTTCCCCTGCTAAAGTTTTGTATTCCTCAACTCAGAAATAAGGAAAATGTGTAACATAACACCCACATTGAGAAACGTAATACATTACAGTCTGAATCTGTTTAAACATCTCAACACTCAACGTGGTCAATCTGCTATCTTAATAATCACCTTAAATTTCATCCAGAAGCTGCCCTTTCACAGAGACTACTACATGGCCCTTTGACAAAATAAACCCTAATTCCTAATCACTTTAAAACAGCGCCACTTCGGGCTGAGTTCATGGTTAAGCTAAGCAGGGGGAGCAAAAGCAGTTAATTTATGGTTTGTTCTTAACATGACCAATTCAAGTATTTATAGCGATAGCACCTTTTCCAGTTCAAATAAGCAAGAACCCAGAAAGGCAGGCCATGTGTACAAATAAGTAAAGAGCACAAAACAATGGTAAGAAGGCCGGGATGGGAGGGTATTAATCACCCTGGAGGTCAGCCTAGAGGGGAGGAAGGTCGATGTGCGGTGCCCAGAGCAGGCAGAGTCTGGGAGCTCCCCCGAGGCCGAGCACAGCTACTGATGGTGCTCTGGGAGGTGAACGAGGGCTCAGGTCTGCAGTTCACACTTAGCCCTCAGGAAGGGTGCAGAGTGGGGCAGGGCGAGAGGCCGGAGACCTGGCAAAGACGGCGGCTCGGGAGGGCCCAGGGCGCTCCCGTTCAAACGTGGTTAACCACCCCACAGCATTCAACCAAGCGCGGGGCCCTTCCGCGGGAGGGCTTGCCATCCGGGAGGGACAGGACTTGGGACAGGTCTTGTCATCTCTGTGCGTGGCTCCCTCGTCTGTAAACCGGACCCCGTGAGGACACACCTACGCTGGAAAGCCCTCCTGTTTGTGCTGGTCCTTCTCCCAGACCTCCGCTCTCAACTGGCTGGGTCTTCAGACTCCACGTACCCACACAATGAGAGATCTGCGCAGGGGAGACAATCTCCCAGCTCACAGCCCTGGTGTCTATGGGTACCCCAGGGGCTCTGGGCCTGCTGTCCATGGTAGGAGGCGGCACAGGGAGAGAAGGGGACAGTTACTTAAAGACCCACACAGTGACTGTGGTCACACTGGGGGCGCCTGCTTGGGCTGAGTGACAGGAAGCCAGTCACTACCACGATGAAGCATAGGATCCGTGAGAGCAGCAAATTCACTCCCCCAAGCTGTAGAAAAAGTCAAGTCACCCAGCCGCTGCTTTTGAGCTTCATAGTTTTAAGGACTAAACTTGCATGGCCCCCAAAACAATGTCACGCTGCAAAGGGGCCAGGAGGGCAGCTTATGCTGCTCAGGTAACTTCTCCCGGGGGAGGGGGAGCCGAGCCAACCACTCACCTGTGACGCACCCTGGCTCTCAGGGAATGTTTCAGCTCTGTGACGACAGCCAGCAGTGACTCACCAGGAAGGAGGCCATGGCTCCTGCCACCACCCCCACTGCACCCCTCTCCACGGGGCCACGCTGCCCAGCGCCAACCCTGACAAACAGGACTGCTCAGAGGACTGGGCCACATCTAAAAGCACCCGGCCCACCAGACCCGCAGCCCCCAGGTCTCCAGGGCAAGGGAGGCCCGCGCAACGCCATCCCAGCAGCACACCGGGCCTGCGGCGTGGCCGTGGCCAACGATCTCGAAGAGGCGCTCCAACGAAGGAATCGACACGCGAGCCCCTCGAGTCGCCGTGGGAAGCAGGGTGGGCCACAGGGATCCCCCCGCGGCCATAATACAGCTGGGGGAGGGGAGAGGGAAAACGGGAGGGCGTGCTAAGGAGCACCGGAGAGTGGTCTGAGGAGCCACGCCCGGGCAGGCCCGGCAGCGCTGGTGCGGAGGCTCCAGCCATAGCCGTCCAGAAGGCCAGAGCAGCAGGGCCCATCAGACCTCACTCTGGCGCAGACTCGGTCCCACACAGCCCCGGACGCCGTGCTCCGTGCAATCCAATGACCAGGGGGTCCAGAGGAAGGAGCCCCCACGAGGAAGGAGTCTGGAACTGTGGCATCCTAGCAGCAGCCGTGGCCACCTGATCCATACGTGGAGAGGAACATCACTCAGCCGTGAGCAGGAGAGTCGCCCACACGCGCGGCCCCGGGGACGGACCCCAAGCCCACGACGCTCAGGGAGGGAACCGGACACAGAAGGCCACACGGGGTGTGAGTCCACGTGGGTGACACGTCCAGAACGGGCTCATCCGCGGACGGGAAGGGGGCTCTCGGGGGCTGGGGGGGGGGGGGGAGGTGATAGCTGACGGGGACGAGTTTCCTTCTAGGGTGATGGAATGTTCTGAGACTAAAGGCGGCAGTTGTACAACCCTGTGAATGGACTGGTCTGTGGCAACGTACTTTAGATGGATAGACGGAGTGGTGTGTGAATTACCTTGCAATAAAGCTGTTACTTGTAAACGAAACCCACAAGCCCCAGCACTGCCCCCTCCTGTTGACTGTCCTCCTGGACCCTCGCCGTGCCCAGGCCCCTGCGCCTGGCCTCCCGTACCCGGCACATCTGGGGCAGACAACCCGAACTGCCAGGCCAGGGATGCAGCCCAGCCGCAGTGAGCCACATGCACCCCAGGGGAAACAACCCGGTTCACCCCTTTCAACAGGTCACAGCAAAACAGCCATCCAGAGCAGAAACCTGAGCCCCATGGGGGCTCCTGTGGTCCCACAGGCCACACTACCCCCCACCGGCACCTGCGTCCTCCTCTATCCCTAGCCCTACCACAAAGCCCAGAAAGCCCTGTCCCCCAACTCCTAAAAAGAAGGGTTGGGTTTTTAAACGACAAAAGCGTTATCAGAGTGAGTATCCATCACTCACACCCCCCACCCCCACAGCACGTGGAGTGAAGCTAATGCTTTCTGCACACTAGCCCACACACCCCCATGACTAGCTGAGTGGAACTCAAGCCCAAGTCTCTCTAGAGAGAGGAAAGTGAGGCTTAGGGCGGTTGCATGGTAAAGCCCAGAGCCCTTGACCTCCCAACCTCCACTGGCAGCACCCCAGGTGCCACACAACAGACAGGAAGAAGGGCTGGTACAGCGCAGGGGAGAGGGCCCACGGGCTCGGAACTGGAAGCGGGATGCGGGTCGGGGAGAAGGAAGACTGCGTTCAGGAAGAGCAGGAGCTAGGAGAGCATGGAGCAAGGGAATGGCGAGGCACTGAGGGGCAGGCCGGAGCCACGTGTGGGCTGTGGAGTGGCAGAGCGACACCCCGGCACCCCCCAAAAAGCGGCAGGTCCTCGGCAAATACCTGTGGAATCAATACCGTGGCCTGGGCTAGCAGGAGCCCCCACTGGTGGGAACTGTAGGGACACCTCAAGGGGACAGAGAAAGCAGAGAGAGGCTTCAGGAAGTACAACCCTGAGCAAGAGGAAGGAAACAGGAACATTATTCCCACAGCTAGGGAGACCCAGGCACACTTTGCAGGGGAAGTCAGGCAGAGTAAGAACTTTCCCGAGAGAGGCATGGGGCCCAGGACCCAGTTGCTCCCAAATGCAGAAGAACCCTGGCAGCCCACCGGTCCCACATTCACCAGAGGACCCCAAAATGCTCTGTATCTTGAATGCTCATCTTGCGCTCTGGATGTAAGATGTCACCACTGGGGGAGCTGGATAAGGAGAACACAGGATGTCTCTGCTCTTTCTTTCTTTCCTTCTTTCTTTTTTATAAGATTTACTTATCTGAGAGAGAGAGAGAGACAGCACGGGGCAGAGGGAAAGGGAGAGAAGCAGACTCCCGGCTGAGTGCAGAGTCCAACTCGGGGCTCAATCTCACAACACTGAGATCATGACCTGAGCTGACACCAAAAGTTAGACACTTAACCAACTGAGCCATCCGGGCGCCCCTGTTACTTCTTATGGCTTCAGGTGCATATACGATTATTTCGAAATTATTTAATAGTTTAAGGGGAAAAAAAGCAGAGCTCCCAGAGGGAGACTGGGCAGGCAGGTGCCCTGCAGCTCCGCCCCTGCCTCCCTAGGGAACATCCGAAGTTCCTGCTCCCTCCGTCCCCTACCCATCCAGAACAGAGTACCGGCAGGCATTTGGATCCTAGGGACCCGACTATGAAAACTAACAGCCACATATGACAGACAGGCTTTTCTGATTACCCCTCCCCCCTCTGAAGTAGCTACTCCGCCCACACAAGGTTGTCTAAGGGTTAATCTGCCTTCCACCTGAGTGCGGATTAGACAGAAGGCTCACACAAGCCTAGGTCAGCATCAGAAAATATTTTCTGAGTCACAGGGAGGGATGGCTCACTCTGCCCACCCACTCATCCTCCTGCATAAAGGGCATGACTGCTCAGAGGGCATTCATCAGATCGTGGGCTCCCCGGGAGGAAGCTGAAGGCGGGGACAGTCACGATGGGGCTGCTCCCCCGCCCACAGGCTTAATAAGTCATGGAGGAGATGGACCACTCCACGCCCTCGAAGGTTCTTGCCCCGCAGCCAGGCAGCCAAAAATACTACTACCCCCCTTCCAGCTGGGACCTGGTTTTCCCACTAAGACCAGAGCCACCTTGAGCTGTAGGTGAGTATCCGAGAACGCTTAAGTCATGGAAGCAACAAAACTCAGCCGCCACCGCCCCCACCTTCCCTCCCATTTGTTAATTTCCCAAAAAGCCTGTTTCTGACCCTGGACATTTCCCAGTGCCGGTGGTTGTGACTGTTGGTACTTCCTCCTGCAGATGCCCCCACCTCCAAGCAGCAACCCACACCTCCCCCAGGACAAAACCAGCAGCCCCTCCCTCCAGGACCACCTCAGCCGGCAGCTATCTATGTGGCCACATAACTGCTGAACTCGTGGGTTTATAGATCTCCCACCTCCCTATGCTTACACGTTTCCTGAGCGTGCGAATACTGTCCACTGTCCTCTGCGGCCCCAGGAGCACCGGAAGCAACCAGTAGGTGCTGGCAGAATGAATGGATCCATGAACAAACGGGCCCAGTCATCTCGCACACGTAATCAACAGTCTGACCTGACAGTCTGACCTCCTGAAAAGTTAACTTATGAAGTCGTCCGTTTTCTTAACATAGTCATCATCGAATCATCACAAAATATGAACCCTTCTGAAAGCACTGGCCCTCGCTTCACATGAGAAAGCAAACTTCGTCAGCAGGGATACGGGAAGTTAACAGACATCGCCACAAAGCTGCAGCAGGAGCGTCGGCTGTCACCGCACTAGCAGAGGATTTCACGGGGCCCGCCTGCCCACGGGCCTGGCAGTGGGACAAGCACACCAGGAAAGGGCCTGCTGACGTCAGGCAGAGCGCCTGGCCAGGCGGGCAGCACTATCCCATCCCCCGGCCAAGCGAGGTCCCGGCCAGTGAGGGAAAGACGCTCCGCAGTTCAGAACCAGCGGCCGCTAGGAAGCCAGGCCCAGCACGGAAGGCCTAGTTTACACCAGGTGCAAATCCCTGTGGGCCTTGCTCTGCTCCAAATAAAAGATGGCGGTGAGGGGCACCCGGTGGCTGTCTCTGGGTGAACTTTCGCCTTGGTGTCCAGGGCTGGACAGTGGGTCACAGTGCATTCCCTCGGTCTTCCAATGCCCAACAGTGCCAACCCGGGAGATGCAAAAGCGTCACACAGAGCCGCACAGGCCCCACCGTCCTCCCCCTGCATGCTTCCCAAGGTGAGAAGCCAAGTTCGCGCAGAAATTGCCCCCACACGCTCACAGCAGCTTTGTTTCTAACTGGAAACATCCCACAAGGCCACCACCGGGCAGTGAAACAGGGAGATGAAAAGACGGAACGGGACAGAGCAATGGAAAGGACGGGCTGCGGACACCCGCAGCAACGTGGATGAGTCTCAGAGATGCCCTCCCGGGCCAGAAAGCTGCCTGCTGTTGGCTCCATTCGTGTGGCTTCCCGGAAAAGACAAGACTTCGGAGCCGAGCGGAAAGAGCTGAGCTGGTGGGAGGGCACGCGGAGGGCGGACAGCGGCCTGATTGGGATGGACCTGTCAAAACCCCTGGAGCTGCACCGCGTGCGAGCTACGGATAAAAAAATAACTCAATTTTAAAGCATGCGCTGGCCAGCCAACTGGTGCATGCGGGGCGCTGTCACAAGGGCGGAGAGAGGCGGAGGCCGGCGGAACGGTTGGAGTTTTGAAGGTGCTCCCCACTTTCGTCACCTTGGACGTCGGTCTTCCCGCCCTGCCCACCGCCCCGGCGGCCGGACACACACGCTTCGCCAGCCGGAAAGGCCCGGGCCCGGGCTCGACCTCGCCTCCGGCCGCAGGACGAGCAAAAATAGAACGCTCCGGGGCGCGCGGCGGGCTGGAAACCGCGAAAGCCCCCGACCGCGGAGACGCCGGGGCCGGCAGCCAAGCCCCGCTCGCGGGCGGTCGCCGCGCCCGCGCCCGCCCCCGCGCCCGCCCCCGGCCGCGACGTTTCCAAAAACTGACACACACGGAGCGCGCGCGAGGGGCGGGGCGCGCGGGCTTCCCCGCCGGGCGCCCCGCAGGCCCCGGTGCCCCCGCCGCGCGCCCGCGCCCGCGCCCAACGGCAGCCCGCCGGGTCCGAGCGGCCCCGGGGACGCGGCCGCCCCGGTGAATTGCCGCCGGCCGGTCATTTCCCGGGGGTCCCTCGGGAGCGGCGGACGGAGCGGCCCCGGGCCCCGACCTCGGCGGGGCCGGGAAACAGCGCGGGGACTACGAGGCCGGGCACCCGGACGGCGCCGGGCGCAGACGCCCCCCGCCCCGCCAACGGCCGGGCGGCAGGGCGCCCCCGCAGCGGGGCTTCCCGGCGCCGGCGGCCGGTCCGCCGCGGGGCCGGGGGAGCGGGGCCGCGGGGCGCGGGGCACTCACGTAGACCGGCAGCGGCCACGGGTAGACGGCGGGCTCGGCGCCCACGGGCGACTTGAGCCTCAGCTCCAGCTTCTCCCCCATGTCGGCGCGCGCGGCCGCCGCACCATGCTAGTCGGGCGGCTGGGGGAGGGGCGCGGCGCCGCCGGCGGGGCGGGGCGCGGCGGCGGGCGGGGGAGGGCGGGCGGGGGGGCGGGCGGCTGGGGGGGCCCGGCCCGGCCTCGGCCGCCGCCGCCGCCGCCGCCGCCGCCGCCGCCGCGCTCGCGCCCGGCGCCCGGCTCCTCTTTGTGCTCACAGGCCCGGGGCCCCCAGCGCCGCCGCCATCTTGGGCCGGCGCGAGGCGAGCACAATGAGCCGCGGGCCGGGCCGAACCATTCTGCGCGCGCGCGCGGGGGCGCTCGGCGCGAGGGCCCGGCGCGCGCCCGCCGCCCCGCCCGCCGCGCCGCGCGCGCCCCCCCCCGCCGCCCCTCCCCGTGGGCTCGCCCACACGACGCGGCACGCACGTCCTCGGCTGCCCTCGGCCGCCGCCGCCGCCGCCGCCGCCGCCGCCCTGGGATGGCGGGTTCGAGCCCCGCCCCGGAGACCGGGGGCCCGGGGGACCGCCCGCGCCCAGCGGAGCCGTAACTCCTCGTGGCATGGGACGCCCGCGGCCCGGGAGGCCTGCGCTGCCGCTTGGGGTACGCGGCCCGCCCCGCGCACCCAAGAGCGTCGAGGGGCGCCTGGGCGGCCCGGCCGTTGGGCGTCGGCCTTCGGCTCGGGCCGGGGTCCCGGGGTCCCGGGGTCCCGGGATCGAGCCCCGCGTGGGGCTCCCTGCTCCGCGGGAGGCCTGCTTCTCCCTCTCCCGCTCCCCCTGCTGGTGTTCCCTCTCTCGCTGTCTCTCTCTCTGTCAAATAAATAAAATCTTAAAAAATTAAAAAAATTAAAATAAAAAATAAAATTTAACTGGTGCCCTGGGGCACCTGGGTGGCTCAGTCGTTAAGCGTCTGCCTTCGGCTCAGGTCATGATCCCGGGGTCCTGGGATCGAGCCCCGCATCGGGCTCCCTGCTCAGCGGGAAGCCTGCTTCTCCCTCTCCCACTCCCCCTGCTTGTGTTCCCTCTCTCGCTGTCTCTCTCTCTGTCAAATAAATAAAATCTTAAAAAATTTAAAAAATTAAAATAAAAAATAAAATTTAACTGGTGCCCTGGGGCACCTGGGTGGCTCAGTCGTTAAGCGTCTGCCTTCGGCTCAGGTCATGATCCCGGGGTCCTGGGATCGAGCCCCACATCGGACTCCCTGCTCCGCGGGAAGCCTGCTTCTCCCTCCTCCACTCCCCCTGCTTGTGTTCCCTCTCTCGCTGTGTCTCTCTCTGTCAAATAAATAAATAAATCTTTAAAAAGTCAGGACAGTGGTTAGCTCAGGAATCAGAGGGGTGACACAGGGACATTCACCTGTGAAAAAGTATCCATCATGCACTTTTTGTATGTCTATCAATAAAAAGCTTTCTAAAAACAGATTCCTCTGGTTGCTATGCAGGGAACACATTGGGAGGTTGGGGGGGTGGTAAAGGAAGAGGACTGAGGGGGCCAGACAGTCACCCAGGTGACAAGGAAGGAAGGCTCCGAAGAGGGACAAACCCCCCATGGATAACTTAGCTAGACTGGACTTTGTGAGCTAAGGACAGCCTGGGACAAGGGTTAGGGTCCCCAGCCTGAGGAACCCAAAGCCCAGAGCCACCCTTCATCCTCCCAGTGAAGAGAGCCAGTCAGCCACCTCGGGCTCCCGGGCTCTCAGGCTATTTTCAGCTTCCATCCCATAGGACACAGAGGCAGCCAAAGCATGTGTCTCAGGAAACACCCTCCCTCCCTCTCTCCCTCCTGCCTCCTCCTCCATCCCTTCCCCTCCTTCCTTCCCCCCTCCCTCTGTCTATTCTCTCCTTCCTGCAGAGAGACCCCCAGGGACCTCTCAGACCCTGACTCAGGCAGCCAACCGGAGAGTGGCTGCAGACAGCAGCTTCCCATCCCCCCCCTCCCCTGCCCGTTGTCCCCCACCATCTGAGGGATGTCAAGACAAGCCCTGGAGGAGGGTGACCTTGGCCCCGGGCCCTCAGCACGTGCCGTTCCCCTGCTTGGAACGTGCTTCCCCAAGACTCCTCCCTCTGCCATCAGTCTTGTTCTCTGCTCACTTCCTCCAGAACCTTCCTGGACTCCACAGACAAGGTGTGGCCCCAGAGTATGCTTTACACCTGCCCTGTACCCACAGAATTCCAATCCCAGCCCTCCCTTCCCTGCCGGGTGAGTGTCTCCACCTCTGCTCGTTTCCTCATTTGAGCAGCCGATGCCCCCAGTCCCTGCCCCAGGATGTTTGAGAGGGTCAAGTCAGTTACCATAGAAAGTGCCAGAACAGTGCCTGCTACATGGAAGTTATTTGCCACCAGCATTGCTGTTGGTACTGTTATGGTAGTTTGTAGGGCGACCAGCCGTCTGGTTTGCCCAGGACTGTCCCAGTCTCAGCACTGGAAACCCAGGGAACCCCTCTGTTCTGGGCACACAGGGATGGTTGTTCACTCTATTTAGGATTTATCTCCCATCCCCACGCAGCCAGAAAGAAAATCTCCCTGCACCTGCCTTCCTTCCTGCTAACCATTCATCCACTCGTGTCTTTGCTCAACTCCGTTATTCAACAAGTATTTCATAAGCAGCTACTACATAGCAGGCCCTCTTCCAGGTGCTGGGAACCTAGTAGCCAGGACAGTGGATGGAAACCCGTGTCCTCATAGAACTTACGTTCCAGGAAGGGCAGCAAACAATAAGCTGATAAGATGTAATTTATTATACAGGAATGGTGTCAGGGAGATCACTAAAGTAAGAAAAGGAAAGGGAGAGGGGGCAGCTTTAAATGCAGACCTTGAAATGAAAGGGGCCCACTGCTCTCACCTGGAGCAATCCGGCCCCCAGGGGACACTGGGCCGTGTCTGGAGACATCTGTGCTTATAACGACCAGGGGTGAGGCTAGCATCGAGACCCCCCACAGAGAACGAACCGCCCCAACGTCAGCAGCACCAAGGGGCAGAGACCCTGCTCCAACATTATTCTGATGATCTGGTTCCCCCAGAATCCTGCAAGGGCAGGGACTCCATCCCAGCCACTTGTACACCCTCAGAGGTGACGCAGAGTGAGGCAGCCAGGCAGGGCTGAGACAAGCCTTGGGGATGAAATGGCAAGCGTGTATGCCCATCCACCTGGCGCTCAGAGCTGGAGAGGTGGGGCTGGCCCCCACACACGATGGCCTCTATCACCCACCCACCTTGTGCAGCTAGCTCTTTCCAGAATCACCTCCTCTGGCCACTGTTCTGGTCCCTGTCCTGGGTTGAGTTGACTCTGAGAACAAGGACATGAGTGCAGGTTGATGATTTGAGAGGTGCAGAGAACTGCCTGGGGTGGGGGGGACAGGAAGAGACAGGTGCGCTCTGATACCAGCTGTCTTAGTGGGACCTCCACCATCACAGAGACTCTGGGGATATGCAAACACATACCTTGGCATGAGCCCACCCCGGGGGGACGAAGGAGCTGGGGTACTTAACGCACTAACTCCTGTTATCAGTGGAGGGGTGGGAGGGGTTGGGAGGATGTGAATTCCCCAGCACTTCTAGCCTGCCACAGTCCTCCAGATGCAGATACTGGCTGTTGGAGTCTCAAAACAGTCGTGTCCAACAGAAGAGGCCAGGGCACCAGCAGAGTCGAATCTGGTCCCTAAGTGAAGAGGTTCCTCCTCTCCTACAGTTCTAAATACTTGTGGAGCCTTCAGACTTCCACCCAGGATTTTCACCTTCAGGTCTGGAGTGAACCACCTGCTGACAAGCCACCCCCTTCTCGGGGGCCAGCAGCAGTTCTTTCTTAAATCAAGATGCATCTAGATACCAAAATCGTAAAGACGAAAGGAGACTCAGGCATGTTTAAATCAAGGAAATACACTATTATCTTTGTAAAAGTGCTTAATTTTAATAGTTAAGATTTACCCAAAAAGTTGCAAAGATGGTACAGAATGTTCCTATGCCCCGCCACCCCATACCCAGTCCCCCCCCTTTTTTACATGTTACATTAGTATGATACATTTGTTGCAGCTAAAGAACCAACATTGATACATTATTACTAACTAAAGTCCAAACTTTATTTGCATTTCCTTAGTTCTTCCCTAACATCTTTTTTCTGTCCCAGTGTTCTCTCGATGTGACAGGTTTTGTACCGTGAAAGTTTTGAGGAGGACCAATCAGGCATTTTGTCTCTTACTTCGTTTTTGTGATGTTTTTCTTATGGTTAGTATGGGACTATTGGGTTTGGGGGAGGAAGACCCAGAGATAAAATGCCATTCTCATCAGATAACATCAACACACCTGCTGCCAACAGGATTTATGACCGAGCTGTTGACTTTGATCGCCTGGCTACTATTATCTTTTCAATTATGGTGGACATCTCCCTTCCCCAAGTAACCAAAATTAAAGAGACTGACGATATCTAATGTTGGTGAGGATGGCAAGCCACTAGAACTCCCATGCGTTGCTGCTGGTAGTGCAGATTGGAGCAATCACTTTGGAAAGCTGTTGGCTGGACCCCCAAAAGCTAACTACACCCACCCCAGGTCTCAGTGATCCCCCTCCTCAGTGCTCGCCCAAGAGAAATAAGTGTCTGAGTCCCCACGAAAAGACATGCCCTGGAATGTTCGCAGGGGCTTTACTTACAATAGCCAACAACTGGAAATGATTCCAATGTCCTTCCAGAAGAGAGCAGGTGAAGAAATTGTGGTATACTCAGAAAAGGGGATGCCACACAGCACTGAAAAGGAAAGAACCGGTATGCCGGTGTGGGTGGATCTCACGCAGCCGTCAGGGAAGGGCAGTGAAGCAACACCAAAGAGGCTCTTTTTCTTCCTTCCTTTCTTTCTTTGACAAAGACAGTGAGAGAACACAAGTAGGCAGAGCCGCAGATAGAGGGAG